ACTGGGACCCTGCAGTGACAGCACCCATAGAGCTGCACTGGGACACACAGGGATAGCACCCATAGCGCTGCACCGGGACACAGCAACAGCACCCATAGCGCTGCACTGGGACCCTGCAGCAAGAGCACCCATAGCGCTGCACTGGAACACAAAGGGACAGCACCCATAGCGCTGCACTGGGACACAGAGACAGCACCCATAGCGCTGCACCGGGAACCTGCAGCGACAGCACCCATAGCGCTGCACTGGGAAACACAGGGACAGCACCCATAGCGCTGCACTGGGACCCTGCAGTGACAGCACCCATACCGCTGCACTGAGACCCTGCAGTGACAGCACCCATAGCGCTGCACTGGGACCCTGCAGCGACAGCACCCATAGCGCTGCACTGGAACACAAAGGGACAGCACCCATAGCGCTGCACTGGGACACAGTAACAGCACCCATAGCGCTGCACTGGGAAACACAGGGACAGCACCCATAGCGCTGCACTGGGACACAGTAACAGCACCCATAGCGCTGCACTGGGACACACAGGGACAGCACCCATAGCGCTGCACTGAGACCCTGCAGTGACAGCACCTATAGCGCTGCACTGGGACCCTGCAGCGACAGCACCCATAGCGCTGCACTGGGACCCTGCAGCGACAGCACCCATAGCGCTGCACTGGGACCCTGCAGTGACAGCACCCATAGCGCAGCACTGGAACACAAATGGACAGCACCCATAGCGCTGCACTGGGACACAGAGACAGCACCCATAGCGCTGCACTGGGACCCTGCAGTGACAGCACCCATAGAGCTGCACCGGGACACAGCAACAGCACCCATAGCGCTGCACTGGGACCCTGCAGCAAGAGCACCCATAGCGCTGCACTGGAACACAAAGGGACAGCACCCATAGCGCTGCACTGTGAAACACAGTAACAGCACCCATAGCGCTGCGCTGGGACACAGAGACAGCACCCATAGCGCTGCACCGGGACCCTGCAGCGACAGCACCCATAGCGCTGCACTGGGAAACACAGTAACAGCACCCATAGCGCTGCACCAGGACCCTGCAGCGACAGCACCCATAGCGCTGCACTGGGAAACACAGTAACAGCACCCATACCGCTGCACTGAGACCCTGCAGTGACAGCACCCATAGCGCTGCACTGGGACACAGTAACAGCACCCATAGCGCTGCACTGGGACCCTGCAGCGACAGCACCCATAGCGCTGCACTGGGACACACAGGGACAGCACCCATAGCGCTGCACTGGGACATACAGCGACAGCACCCATAGCGCTGCACTGGGACACAGCGACAGCACCCATAGCGCTGCACTGGGACCCTGCAGCGACAGCACCCATAGCGCTGCACTGGGACACACAGGGACAGCACCCATAGCGCTGCACCGGGACACAGGGGGAGCACCCATAGCGCTGCACTGGGACACAGTGACAGCACCCATAGCACTGCACTGGGACACAGTAACAGCACCCATAGCGCTGCACTGGGACACAGTAACAGCACTGGGACACAGTAACAGCACCCATAGCGCTGCACTGGGACACACAGGGGCAGCTCCCATAGCGCTGCACTGAAACACACAGGGATAGCACCCACAGCGCTGCACTGGGACACAGCAACAGCACCCATAGCGCTGCACTGAAACACACAGGGATAGCACCCATAGCGCTGCACTGGGACACAGCAACAGCACCCATAGCGCTGCACTGAGACACACAGGGATAGCACCCATAGCGCTGCACGGGGACACAGTGACAGCACCCATAACGCTGCACCGGGACACACAGCGACAGCACCCATAGCGCTGCACTGAGACACACAGGGATAGCACCCATAGCGCTGCACGGGGACACTCAGCAACAGCACCCACAGCGCTGCACTGGGACACACAGGGACAGCACCCATAGCGCTGCACCGGGACACACAGCGACAGCACCCATAGCGCTTCACCGGGACACACAAGGACAGCACCCATAGCGCTGCACCGGGACACGGTGACAGCGCCCATAGCGCTGCACTGGGACACAGCGACAGCACCCATAGTGCTGCACCGGGACACACAGCAACAGCACCCATAGCTCTGCACCGGGACACACAGCAACAGCACCCATAGCGCTGCACCGGGACACACAGCAACAGCACCCATAGCGCTGCACCGGGACACACAGCGACAGCACCCATAGCGCTGCACTGGGACACAGCAACAGCACCCATAGCGCTGCACTGGGACAAACAGCGACAGCACCCATAGCGCTGCACTGGGACACAGCGACAGCACCCATAGCGCTGCACTGGGACACAGCGACAGCACCCATAGCGCTGCACTGGGACACAGTAACAGCACCCATAGCGCTGCACTGGGAAACACAGGGACAGCACCCATAGCGCTGCACTGAGGCCCTGCAGTGACAGCACCCATAGCGCTGCACTGGGACCCTGCAGCGACAGCACCCATAGCGCTGCACTGGAACACAAAGGGACAGCACCCATAGCGCTGCACTGGGACCCTGCAGTGACAGCACCCATAGCGCTGCACTGGGACACACAACGACAGCACCCATAGCACTGCACTGGGACCCTGCAGTGACAGCACCCATAGAGCTGCACCGGTACACACAGGGATAGCACCCATAGCGCTGCACTGGGACCCTGCAGCAACAGCACCCATAGCGCTGCACTGGAACACAAAGGGACAGCACCCATAGCGCTGCACCGGGACCCTGCAGCGACAGCACCCATAGCGCTGCACTGGGAAACACAGGGACAGCACCCATAGCGCTGCACTGGGAAACACAGCGACAGCACCCATAGCGCTGCACTGGGACACAGTGACAGCACCCATAGCGCTGCACTGGGACACAGTAACAGCACCCATAGCGCTGCACTGGGACACAGTAACAGCACCCATAGCGCTGCACTGGGACACAGTAACAGCACCCATAGCGCTGCACTGGGACACAGTAACAGCACCCATAGTGCTGCACTGGGACCCTGCAGCGACAGCACCCATAGCACTGCACTGGGACACACAGGGGCAGCACCCATAGCGCTGCACTGAAACACACAGGGATAGCACCCACAGCGCTGCACTGGGACACAGCAACAGCACCCATAGCGCTGCACCGGGACACACAGCGACAGCACCCATAGCGCTGCACTGAGACACACAGGGATAGCACCCATAGCGCTGCACTGGGACACACAGCGACAGCACCTATAGCGCTTCACCGGGACACACAAGGACAGCACCCACAGCGCTGCACCGGGACACGGTGACAGCGCCCATAGCGCTGTACGGGGACACTCAGCAACAGCACCCACAGCGCTGCACTGGGACACACAGGGACAGCACCCATAGCGCTGCACTGGGACACACAGCGACAGCACCTATAGCGCTTCACCGGGACACACAAGGACAGCACCCATAGCGCTGCACCGGGACACGGTGACAGCACCCATAGCGCTGCACTGGGACACAGGGACAGCACCCATAGCGCTGCACCGGGACACACAGCAACAGCACCCATAGCGCTGCACTGGGACACACAGCAACAGCACCCATAGCGCTGCACCGGGACACACAGCGACAGCACCCATAGCGCTGCACTGGGACACAGAGACAGCACCCATAGTGCTGCACTGGGACACACAGCACCCATAGCGCTGCACTGGGACACAGCGACAGCACCCATAGCGCTGCACTGGGACACAGCGACAGCACCCATAGCGCTGCACTGGGACACAGCGACAGCACCCATAGCGCTGCACTGGGACACAGCGACAGCACCCATAGCGCTGCACTGGGACACACAGCGACAGCACCCATAGCGCTGCACTGGGACACAGCGACAGCACCCATAGCGCTGCACTGGGACACACAGCGACAGCACCCATAGCGCTGCACGGGGACACACAGCGACAGCACCCATAGCGCTGCACTGGGACACACAGCGACAGCACCCATAGCGCTGCACGGGGACACACAGCGACAGCACCCATAGCGCTGCACTGGGACACAGCGACAGCACCCATAGCGCTGCACTGGGACACACAGCGACAGCACCCATAGCGCTGCACTGGGACACAGCGACAGCACCCATAGCGCTGCACTGGGACACAGCGACAGCAGCCATAGCGCTGCACTGGGACACACAGGGACAGCACCCATAGCGCTGCACTGGGTCACAGCGACAGCACCCATAGCGCTGCACTGGGACACACAGGGATAGCACCCATAGCGCTGCACTGGGACACACAGGGATAGCACCCATAGCGCTGCACTGAGACACAGCACACAGTGCATGGACCCTATAGCTCCATACTGGGACACACAGTCCCACAGTGCCAGCACCATATAGTTCTGTACTGGGACCGCATAGCTCCATAGTGGGACATACATCCTCATAGCGCCAGCACCATATAGCTGTACTGAGACCCCCAGTGTCACTACTGTATAGCTCTGTACTGGGAATATCTAGCTCCATACTGGAATCATATAGCCACATAGTGCCAGCGCTCTGTATCTCCATACTGCCTTGGACCATATAGCTCCACACCAGGACCATATAGCCCCATACTGCTGGATCCATGCAGCTCCACAGCAGGACCATATAGCCCCATACTGCTGGATCCATACAGCTCCACACCAGGACCATATAACCCCATACTGCTGGATCCATAGGGCTCCACACCAGGACCATATAACCCCATACTGCTGGATCCATACAGCTCCACACCAGGACCATATAGCCCTATACTGCTGGATCCATACAGCTCCACACCAGGACCATATAGCCCCACACTGCTGGATCCATACAGCTCCACACCAGGACCATATAGCCCTATACTGCTGGATCCATACAGCTCCACACCAGGACCATATAGCCCTATACTGCTGGATCCATACAGCTCCACACCAGGACCATATAGCCCCACACTGCCTGGGCCCGTACAGATGTTGGGGCTCGGCCCAGCTCAGACTCACAGGCTGTCGGTGCCCATCAACAGCTGGAAAGCGGATTCAGGCAAAGGATTCCCCTCCAGGCTCAGCGTCCTGCGGAGAGCCCATTCCAGCGCTCAGGATCCTCCCTGGCCCCCCCACAGGCCTTAATGAGCGCTAATGAGGGAGCGTTAATGAGCGCTAATGAGGGAGCGTTAATGAGCGCTAATGAGGGAGCGTTAATGAGCGCGTACCGCAGGCGGGAGCAGCGCGTTGGCAGCGCCGCCAGCACCGGCAGCAGCGGCTCCGGCAGCGGCACGTTCCAGAGGCTGCGGGGGGGACACGGCGCCATCAGGGTCCCGATGCCATGGGGGGGGGGGGAACATGGGGGTCCCGATGCCATTGGAGGGGACATGGGGGTCCCGATGCCGTGGGGGGGGACATGGGGGTCTCGAAGCCGGGGGGGGGGGAACATGGGGGTCCCGATGCCATTGGGGGGAACATGGGGGTCCCGATGCCATGGGGGGGGGGGGGGGACATGGGGGTCTCGAAGCCATGGGGGGGGAACATGGAGGTCTCGATGCGATGGGGGGGGACATGGGGGTCCCGATGCCATTGGGGGGGACATGGGGGTCTCGAAGCCATGGGGTGGTACATGGGGGTCCCAATGCCATGGGGGGGGCATGGGGGTCCCGATGCCATGGGGGGGGACATGGGGGTCTCAAAGCCATGGGGGGGACATGGGGGTACCGATGCCATGGGGGGGGACATGGGCGTCTCAAAGCCATGGGGGGGACGACATGGGGTTTTCGAAGCCATGGGGGGGGATACGGGGATCTCAAAGCCATGGGGGGGACATGGGGGTCCCGATGCTATGGGGGGGGACATGGGGGTCTCAAAGCCATGGGGGGGGGGGGACATGGGGGTCTCGAAGTCATGGGGGAGGACATGAGGATCTCAAAGCCATGGGGGAGGACATGGGGGTCTCAAAGCCATGGGGGGGGGGGACATGGGGGTCTCAAAGCCATGGGGGGGGACATGAGGATCTCAAAGCCATGGGGGGGACATGGGGGTCCCGATGCCATGGGAGGGGCATGGGGGTCCCGCTGCCTGCACCCCGCACTCACTGCAGCTCCTGCAGCGCCCCCAGCGCGGTCAGACACTGGCTCAGGACCCCCAGCATCTCCTCCTCGAGCTTCCAGCCTGCGGGACACAGGGACACAAGTCCATGGAGGGGGGGGGGTTTGGCCCTCCCCGCATTCCCAGCGGGATCCCAGGGGTGATCCCAGGCTCCCCTCGCCCCCCAGGACCCACCTCGCAGGAACACGGCGCGGACGCTGCGGGGCTCCTCCTGCTCCCGCTCCACCTGGATGCGGGGCTGGAAGCTCCGGTACTTGCGCTCGATGCGGGCCAGCGTCTCCTCCAGCGTCCCCGCAGGCGGCTCCGCTGCGGGACCGGGACCGGGACCGGGACCGGGGGGTTCTGGGGGTGCTGCCCGCACCTCCCCCCCCCCCTTCCCCCTTTAACCCCCCCCGGATCCCGCTCACCGTCCGCAGGGAAGCTCGGGGCCGGCCGCACCGTGACCCGCGGGACGTGGGTGATGCCGGCGCGGGCGCAGAGCTCGGGCAAGTCCCGCTCCAGGACCCCGGAGCACTGGAACCCCTCTGGGGCAGGGCAAGGGGGGGGACATCAGGGGGTCCCTCGCAGCACCTCCACCCCCGAAGCCGCTGTGGGGCCGGGGCTCACCTGGGCCCTGCTCCCCCTTCCTGCCCGCGCTCTTCGTCTCCTCCTCCGTGGCCACCAGCGCCTTCTCCCTGGGGGCACGATCGCTCCGGCGCCGCATGACCCACGGCTGGGGGGCACCGGGGGGGGGGGTTCAGCGGCTCCCCCCAGCACCCACCGGATACCCCCGTCCCCCGGCTTGGGGGGTCCCGGTGCGGTCCCGGATGTGGGTGAGGGTCGCGGGGGGAGGAGCCCTGTGGGGTGGGAGGGGGTGCCCCAGGGATAAGGGGTGCTCGGGGGTGTCTCTGGGGGGGGTCCCTAATGCGGGTGAGGGGGTCCCAGGGCACTGTGGGGGTCCCTATTGGGGTGAGGGGGAGTCCCAGGTCCTTATGGGGGTGAGGGAGGGTCTCAGGGTCCTGTGGGGGTCCCTGTGTGGATGGGAGGGGGGGTGTCAGGGATGCTGGGGGGGGGGGGTGACCTGGGGGATCTCGATGAGGGTCCACTGAAGGGGCAAAGGGGAGTCCCAGTGGATGGGGGTCCCTATGGGGGTCTCTTGGGGGTCTCCAGGGGGTGATGGAGGGTCCCAGGGTTGGGAGTGGGTCCCTATGGGGGTCTCCTTAGGCAGTGAGGGCGGTTGTACCAGGCCTGGTGCCTATGGGGCTGCGGGGAGGGGGTTGTTTCTAGCGCGGAGGAGGCCGCATAGGGGTACAGGGGGGTCCCTATGGGGGTCTCCTGGGTGCGAGGGTCCCTATGGGGTGCGGAGGGGTCCCTATGGGGTGCGGGGTTCCCTATGGGGTGCGGGGTTCCCTATAGGGTGCGAGGGTCCCTATGGGGTGCGGTGGTTCCCTATGGGGTGCGGAGGGGTCCCTATGGGGTGCGGGGTTCCCTATGGGGTGCGGGGTTCCCTATGGGGTGCGGGGTTCCCTATAGGGTTCGAGGGTCCCTATGGGGTGCGGTGGTTCCCTATGGGGTGCGGAGGGGTCCCTATGGGGTGCGGGGTTCCCTATAGGGTTCGAGGGTCCCTATGGGGTGCGGGGTTCCCTATGGGGGTCGCGGGGGGAGCCCGGGGCCGGCGGCGACCTCGCTCCTTGGCAACGGAAAGGACGCGAGGGGCGGGGCCGCGCCTGCGCGGGGCGGAGCCGGTGCTGAGTGGGCGGGACCTAACGGAAAGGAGGCGTGGTTTGTCGAGAAAGGGCGGGGCCGTCCGGGAAAGGGGCGGGGTCTGGTCAAAGGGGCGGGGCCTCCCCGTTCCCAGGCCGGCGCTGCGCTGTGACCGAGCCCGTACCGGGGCCGGCGCTGGAGCACCCGGGGCTGTGCTGGGGGCAGCGCTGGGCGCATCCTGCCCCATTCCTGCCCCATTCCTGCCCCATTCCTGAGCCCATTCCTGGGCCCCCACTGGTCCATTCCTGTCCCATTACTGGGTGTTCACTGGGGTCGTCACTGGTCCGTTTCTTACCCCTTTACTGGTCCCATTACTGGGTGTTCACTGGGGTCGTCACCGGTCCGTTTCTTACCCCTTTATTGGTCCCATTACTGGGTGTTCACTGGGGTCGTCACTGGTCCGTTTCTTACCCCTTTACTGGTCCCATTACTGGGTGTTCACTGGGGTCGTCACCAGTCCGTTTCTTACCCCTTTACTGGTCCCATTACTGGGTGTTCACTGGGGTCGTCCCTGGGCCCTTACTGCTCCGTTCGTTATCCCGTTACTGGGCCTTTCCCGGTCTCGTTACTGGGATCATCATTAGACCCCCCCCGGGCCCTTACTGGTCCATTACTGGCCCGGAGCCCCTCCCAGTCCCAGCACAGCCCCCCCCCCCCCCCTTTCCACAGCCAGCCCCGGCTCGCACCGACACCCCTTTATTCACCCCTTTATTCACCCCTTTATTCACCCCTTTATTCACCCCTTTATTCAGCACTGGCACCCCGGGGCTGGGGGTCCGGGTCAGCCCCGTGTCCCCGGTGCCCCCCCGGTCCCCGCGGTGCAGGGGGTGACGGCGGGTGCCGGGTGGGGGGCACATCGTAGTGAATGGGGATGTGGCTGTTCTTGGGGGAGTCGTAATGGCTGGGGGGGGGGGCGGGGGGCACAAGGTCCCCCCCCTCCGGGCAGCTCTCTGCGGGGACAAGAGCAGGTCACAAGTGGGTTTGTGTCCCCTCCTTGGTGCCTCCTGTCCCCCCAGTGTCCGTGTGTCCCCCCCGGTATCCGTGTGACCCACAATGTCTGTGTGTCCCCAATGTCCGTGTCCCCCTCAGTGTCCATGTGTCCCCCGCAGTGTCTCTGTCCCCCCAGTATCCATGTGCCCCCAGTGTCCGTGTGTCCCCCAGTGTCCGTGTATCCCCCCCCAGTATCCATGTGCCCCCAGTGTCTGTGTCCCCCCAGTACCCGTGTCCCCCCAGTGTCTGTGTGTCACCCAGTATCCACGTACCCCCAGTGTCCGTGTCCCCCTTAGTGTCCATGTGTCCCCCCCATGTCTGTGTGTCCCCAATGTCTGTGTCCCCCCCAGTATCCATGTAGCCCCAGTGTCCATGTGTCCCCCCCAATGTCCGTGTCAACCCACAGTGTCCGTGTGTCCCCCCCCAATGGCTGTGTGTCCCCAGTGTCCGTGTGTCCCCCCCAGTATCCACGTACCCCCAGTGTCCATGTGTCCCCCCCAGTGTCCATGTGTCCCCCCCAATGTCTGTGTGTCCCCAATGTCCGTGTCCCCCTCAGTGTCCATGTGTCCCCCGCAGTGTCTGTGTGTCCCCCAGTATCCATGTGCCCCCAGTGTCCGTGTGTCCCCCAGTGTTTGTGTGTCCCCCCCAGTATCCAGGTACCCCCAGTGTCTGTGTCCCCCCACTATCCATGTCCCCCAGTGTCTGTATGTCCCCCCCAGTATCCAGGTACCCCCAGTGTCCATGTCCCCCCCAGTGTCCATGTGTCCCCCCCACTGTCTGTGTGTCCCCAATGTCCGTGTGTCCCCAATGTCTGTGTGTCCCCAATGTCCATGTCCCCCCCAGTGTCCGTGTGTCCACCCCAATATCTGTATGTCCCCAATGTCTGTGTCCCACCTCAGTGTCCATGTGTCCCCCCCAATGTCTGTGTGTCCCCAATGTCTGTGTCCCCCCCAGTGCCCGTGTGTCCCCCCCAATGTCTGTGTGTCCCCAATATCTGTGTGTCCCCAATGTCTGTGTCCCCCCCAGTGTCCATGTGTCCCCCCCAATGTCTGTGTGTCCCCAATGTCTGTGTCCCCCCCAGTGTCCATGTGTCCCCCCCAATGTCTGTGTGTCCCCAATATCTGTGTGTCCCCAATGTCTGTGTCCCCCCCAGTGCCCCAGTGTCCCCCCCAATGTCTGTGTGTCCCCAGTGTCTGTGTCCCCCCCAGTATCCATGTAGCCCCAGTGTCCATGTGTCCCCCCCAATGTCTGTGTCCCCCCCAGTGCCCGTGTCCCCGCCCCGTGCCCGTGTCCCACCGTGGGGCTGCTCCTCGAGGGGCCGGATCTCGGCGTAGGACATCTCCCTGCGCACCGGGGGCCTCATCTCCATGTAGCTGCCCTCGGGCGCCAGGGGGGGCTCCCGGATGGTGGCGTAGGGGCTCTCGCTGCCCACGGAGCTGCCGCTGCCCCCCAGACCCTCCGGGGGGGGCTCTGAGGGGGAGGAGTTGGGGGGTCCCCATGGCGGGGGACAGGGAGCAGCTGCGTCGGGAGAGTCCCAGCCCCAGCCCAGTCCCATTCCCACCCTCTCTTAACCTCTTCCCCATCCTTTTCCCACTCCATCCCGTCCCAGGCACCCTTTCCCAACCCCCCCCCATCCCATCCCACCCCACCTCATCGTGTGCCACCCCATCCCAACCCAGCCACCCTTTCCCATGCCATCCCACCCCAGCTCATCCCATGCCATCCCACTGCACCTCATCCCACCACATCGCGTGCCATCCCATCCCACCCCAGCTCATCCCACCCCACCCCCATCTCATCCCATGCCATCCCATCCCATCCCACCCCATCCCATCCCATCCCATCCCATCCCATCCCATCCCATCCCACCCTATCCCATCCCATCCCATCCCTCCCCACCCCATCCCATCCCATCCCACCCTACCTATCCCATCCCATCCCATCCCGTCCCATCCCATCCCACCCTATCCCATCCCATCCCTCCCCACCCCATCCCATCCCATCCCACCCTACCTATCCCATCCCATCCCATCCCACCCCACCCCTCCCCATCCCATCCCACCCCACCCCATCGCACCCCACCCCATCTCATCCCACATCCCATCCCACCCCATCCCACCACATCCCCACCCCATCCCACCCCATCCCATCCCACCCCACCCCATCCCATCCCACCCCATCCCACCACATCCCACCCCATCCCACCCCATCCCATCCCACCCCCACCCCATCCCATCCCACCCCACGCTATCCCACCCCATCCCTCCCCACCCCATCTCATCCCTCCCCATCCCTCCCCACCCCATCTCATCCCACCTCGTCCCTCCCCATCCCATCCCATCCCATCCCCCCCACCCCATCCCATCCCATCCCATCCCACCCTACCTATCCTATCCCATCCCATCCCATCCCATCCCATCCCATCCCATCCCATCCCACCCCACCCCATCCCATCCCACCACATCCCACCCCATCCCACCCCATCCCATCCCACCCCACGCTATCCCACCCCATCCCTCCCCACCCCATCTCATCCCTCCCCATCCCTCCCCACCCCATCTCATCCCACCTCGTCCCTCCCCATCCCTCCCCATCCCATCCCATCCACCCTCTCCCATCCCGTTCCTTTACCTTCGCACTTCCCCAGGCTGCAGCTGCAGCTGTAGCTCCGGTCCAGCTGCCCCCCTGCAAAGGGGCAGGTTTGGGCCCCCCCCCGCTCCAGCCCAGCCCATCCCGGCCCCTTCCCTGTGGATACAGCCGGGAGCGCTCCCGCTGCCCCCCCCTTACCGCTGCTGCCCGAGGCGCCGCGGGGCTTCCAGCCGGGGGGGAGCGTGGTGCTGCCGGCTCCGTCTGCAGCCGCCGGGAGCTGAGAGCCGGGGACCTGCGGCGGGACGGGACGGGACGGGACGGGATGGGGTGGGATGGGGTGGGGTGGGGTGGGATGGGAATGGGGTAGGATGGGATGGGGTGGGATGGGACGGGATGGGGTGGGGTGGGGTGGGATGGGGTGGGATGGGGTGGGATCGGGTGGGATGGGGATGATGTGGGACGGGATGGGGTGGGGTGGGATGGGAATGGGGTAGGATGGGATGGGGTGGGATGGGACGGGATGGGGTGGGATGGGAATGGGGTAGGATGGGATGGGGTGGGATGGGATGGGATGGGATGGGGTGGGGTGGGATGGGGTGGGATGGGGTGGGATCGGGTGGGATGGGGATGATGTGGGACGGGATGGGGTGGGGTGGGATGGGAATGGGGTAGGATGGGATGGGGTGGGATGGGACGGGATGGGGTGGGGTGGGGTGGGATGGGGATGATGTGGGACGGGATGGGGTGGGACGGGATGGGGTGGGATGGGACGGGATGGGGTGCGGTGGGACGGGGTGGCATGGGATGAGCACCGTGGAGCCCCATACACCACGGTGCACCTTCCAACACCCCCGTGCACTGTGCAATGTCACCCTAGAGCACTGTTCACCTTACGCCATGGTGCACCATACAATACCATCACAGGGCACCGTGCACCCCTGGTGCACTGTACGGCACCGGTGCACTGTGCAGAACATGGTTCACCATGCAGCACTGTGCTACACCATCACAGTGCACCATCCAGCACCCTGGTGCATGGGTGCTGTGCTGCCATACCTTGATGCTGGCTCTGTCCGGGGCACCAGGAGCTGGCATCGGGCACTGGGACAGTGTGTGGTAGCTGGGGTTGCAGTAGTAATGTGCGTGGTGGCTTGGGGGCACATCTGGGGGGCAGGCATCAGTGTGGTCACCACGGCGGTGTCCCCATTGCCACCACGGTGGTGTTCCAATTGCCACCACGGTGGTGTCTCCATTATCACCACGGTGGTGTCTCCATAATCACCACGGTGGTGTCTCCATTATCACCACGGTGGTGTCCCCATTTCCACCACGGTGGTGTCTCCATTATCACCACGGTGGTGTCCCCATTGCCACCACGGTGGTGTCTCCATAATCACCACGGTGGTGTCTCCATTATCACCACGGTGGTGTCCCCATTGCCACCACGGTGGTGTCTCCATTATCACCACGGTGGTGTCCCCATTGCCACCACGGTGGTGTCTCCATTATCACCACGGTGGTGTCTCCATTATCACCACGGTGGTGTCCCCATAATCACCACGGTGGTGTCTCCATTATCACCACGGTGGTGTCTCCATTATCACCACAGTTGTGTCTCCATTATCACCACGGTGGTGTCTCCATAATCACCACGGTGGTGTCTCCATTATCACCACGGTGGTGTCCCCATTTCCACCACGGTGGTGTCTCCATTATCACCACGGTGGTGTCTCCATTGCCACCACGGTGGTGTCTCCATTATCACCACGGTGGTGTCCCCATTTCCACCACGGTGGTGTCTCCATTATCACCACTCTGGTGTCCCCATTTCCACCACGGTGGTGTCCCCACCGCCACCACCATCACCTGGCACCATGTAGTCCGACGTATCCGTCTGTCCTGCTGTGTAGGCCACGGCAAGGTGCCGGCTCCCCTTCCCCTTCTGCCGGTGCCGGCACCACAGCCCCGCAGCCACCATGGCCACCAGCAGTGCCAGCAGGGCCACCAGGCTGAGCACCACCCCCAGCGAGCTGTAGGCTGCCGGGGGGGCTGGCACGATGGTGTAGGGCTGCTCGGGGGTCTCTATGGGGAGGGAACACGACACAGGGTGTCCATAGGGTGGCACAGGGGCCCTTGGGGGTCCCCAGTGCTGCACCCACTCACCATCACCGCAGTGGGGCCCGGTCCTGCCCGGGGCGCAGGGACACGTCCCGCTGGCCGGGTGGCACGTGGCGTTGTGGGGACAGCGGCAGAGCTGAGCACACTGGAGCCCGAAGGTGCCGGGGGGGCAGGCTGGGGATGGGGGGGACAGGGATGGAGACAGAGACAGAAGTAGGCTGCTCAGGGCCATACAGTGCCATACCAGGACCATACAGCTCCATACTGGGACATACAGCTCCATACTGGGATGATACAGCCCCATACTGGGATGATACAGCCCCATACTGGGACCATCCAGCCCCATACTGGGACATACAGCTCCGCACTGGGACCACACAGCCCCATGCTGCCTTGGACTGTATGGTTCCGTAGAGGGACCATATAGCTCCAAACTCCCTGGGACCATCTAGCTCCATAGCAGGACATATGGCCCCATAGTGCCCAGCACTGTATAGCTCTATACAGGGACAATATAGCTCCATACTTACAGGGACAATATAGCTCCATACTGGGACCATACAACCCCATAGTGCCCAGCACTGTATAGCTCTATACAGGGACAATATAGCTCCATACTGGGACCCTACAACCCCATAGTGCCCAGCACTGTATAGCTCTATGCAGGGACAGTATAGCTCCATACTGGGACCATACAACCCCATAGTGCCCAGCACTGTATAGCTCTATACAAGGACAATATAGCTCCATACTGGGACCATACAGCCCCATAGTGCCCAGCACTGTATAGCTCTATGCAGGGACAATATAGCTGCCTACTGGGACCATACAGCCCCATAGTGCCCAGCACTGTATAGCTCTATACAAGGACAATATAGCTCCATACTGGGACCATACAACCTCATAGTGTCCAGCACTGTATAGTGTCGTACTAGAAAGATAAAGCCTAATAGTTCCTGGGCCCATATAGTTCTATAGTGGGCCCATATAGCTCCATACTGCCTGTGACCACACAGATCCATGCTGGGAAAATATGACCATACCGCCTGGGATCACCTAGCTCCATACTGGGACAATACAGGCCTATAGTGCCTGGGGCCATGTGAATCCATACTGGAACATGCAGCTCCCTGCTGGGACCATAGAGCCCCACAGTGCCTGGGGCCATCTAATTCCACACTGGAACATGCAGCTCCTTGATGGGACCATGGAGCCCCGCAGTGCCTGGGGCCATGTGAATCCACACTGGAACATGCAGCTCCTTGACGGGACCATAGACCCCGCAGTGCCTGGGGCCATCTAAATCCATACTGGAACATGCAGCTCCTTGATGGGACCATGGAGCCCCACAGTGCCTGGGGCCATGTGAATCCACACTGGAACATGCAGCTCCCTGCTGGGACCATAGACCCCGCAGTGCCTGGGGCCATGTGAATCCACACTGGAACATGCAGCTCCCTGCTGGGACCATAGACCCCGCAGTGCCTGGGGCCATCTAAATCCACACTGGAACATGCAGCTCCCTGCTGGGACCATGGAGCCCCACAGTGCCTGGGGCCATCTAAATCCACACTGGAACATGCAGCTCCCTGCTGGGACCATGGAGCCCCACAGTGCCTGGGGCCATGTGAATCCACACTGGAACATGCAGCTCCTTGATGGGACCATAGACCCCGCAGTGCCTGGGGCCATGTGAATCCACACTGGAACATGCAGCTCCTTGATGGGACCATGGAGCCCCGCAGTGCCTGGGGCCATCTAAATCCACACTGGAACATGCAGCTCCTTGATGGGACCATAGACCCCGCAGTGCCTGGGGCCATGTGAATCCACACTGGAACATGCAGCTCCTTGATGGGACCATGGAGCCCTGCAGTGCCTGGGGCCATGTGAATCCACACTGGAACATGCAGCTCCCTGCTGGGACCATGGAGCCCTGCAGTGCCTGGGGCCATGTGAAACCACACTGGAACATGCAGCTCCCTGCTGGGACCATAGACCCCGCAGTGCCTGGGGCCATGTGAATCCACACTGGAACATGCAGCTCCTTGATGGGACCATGGAGCCCCACAGTGCCTGGGGCCATCTAAATCCATACTGGAACATGCAGCTCCTTGATGGGACCATGGAGCCCCACAGTGCCTGGGGCCATGTGAATCCACACTGGAACATGCAGCTCCTTGATGGGACCATGGAGCCCCACAGTGCTTGGGGCCATGTGAATCCACACTGGAACATGCAGCTCCTTGATGGGACCATGGAGCCCCGCAGTGCCTGGGGCCATGTGAATCCACACTGGAACATGCAGCTCCCTGCTGGGACCATAGACCCCGCAGTGCCTGGGCCCGTACAGGTCCGTGGTGCCCAGGACGGAGCTGGGCAGGGCTTCACCCTCACGGCCCTGGGCAGCTCCTCCCGTGCCCCCCGTCCCCGGGAGCGCAGAGCCATGGCGGGGGGGGCTCCGTCCGGGCCCTGCCTTCCCCGCAGAGCGCCCCGGTCCAGCCGGGCGGGCAGAGGCCGGTCCCGTCGGGGGGTGACAGGAGCCGCCGTGGCGGCGCAGGCAGGGCTGGGCGCAGGCAGCGCCCCACGATGGGGTCAAGGGGCTCAGCCCCGCTCCGAGCCCCCCCACCCCGAGCCCCCGGACTCACGCTGGGCGCAGCGGGGGCCGCGGAAGCCCGGGTCGCAGAGGCAGGAGCCGTTGGTGGGCAGGCAGGAGGAGCCGTGGGCGCAGGAGCAGCTCAGGGCGCAGCGCTTCCCGTAGCGGCCGGGCGGGCAGGCTGCGGACAGCGGCCCCTTAGCACGGCGATGGGGGCCATGGGGGGGTGTTTGGGGCGCGGGGGGGGCACTCACGGCGCTGGCAGGAGGGGCCGCGGAAGCCCGGGGCGCAGGTGCAGGAGCCGTCGTGGGGGGAACAAGCGGCTCCGTTGCGGCAGGAGCAGGGCGAGAGGCAGCCGCGGCCCCAAAAGCCCTGGGGGCAGCTCTGCTTGCACTGGGAGCCTGCGGGAGGGGGGAAAGGCGGCTCTGAGCGGGGGTCGGTGTGAGCTGGGTACCAGAACCCCCCTGTGCTGGGCGGCATCAACAGGAGGTGAGCAGCAGGGCAGGGAGGGGATCCTGCCCCTCTGCTCTGCTCTGCTCTGCGAGACCCCCCTGCAGCACTGGGTGCAGCTCTGGTGTCCTCAGCACAAGGACATGGAGCTGCTGGAGCAAGTGCAGAGGAGGCCACGAGGATGAGCAGGGGCTGGAGCAGCTCCCATAGGAGCCAGGCTGGGAACATTGGGGCTGCTCAGCCTGGAGAAGAGAAGCTGCGTGGAGAGCTCAGAGCAGCTTCCAGTGTCTGAAGGGGGCTGCAAGGATGCTGGAGAGGGGCCTTCATCAGGGACTGGAGCGACAGGACAAGGGGTGATGGGTTCAGACTGGAACAGGGGGATTTAGGTTGGAGATAGGGAAGTTTTGCATAAAGGGACACTGGGATGGGTTGAATGGAGAAGCTGTGGCTGCCCCATCCCTGGCAGTGCTCAAGGCCAGGCTGGATCATCCTGCTCCAGTGGAAGGGGTCCCTGCCCGGGGCTTTAGATGCGCTTTAAGGTCCCTTCACCCCAACCCATCCCATGGTTCCACGAGCGCTGCGCGCTCAGGGGGTGCCCCCGTTACCTGTCCAGCCGGGCAGGCAGCGGCACTCTCCGGTCACGGGCTCGCACCCATCGGCGTTGGCGCAGTCGCAGCGCTCCCCACAGCCCGCCCCGAACGTCCCGTTCTGGGGTGCAGGGGAGGAGGGGGGGGGTCAGTGCCGTTGGGGGGGGGGGGGAGAGGCCGAACCCCGTTGTCGGCGGCGCGGGGAAGGGGGGAGGGGCTGCGGCACTCACCGGGCAGGGCTGCAGGCAGCGGGGGCTCTGCCAGCCGGGGGGGCAGCGGCACGCCCCGCTCTGGGGGTCACAGCCGGCCCCATGGCCACAGTCACAGCTCCGGTTGCAGCCGGCGCCCAAGTGCCGGCGGGACACGGGGTCGAGCAGTGGGGGCCGTGCCAGCCTGGGGGTGAGGGCGCAGTGGGATGGGGATGGGGATGGGGATGGGGATGGGGATGGAGATGGGGATGGAGATGGGGATGGGGATGGGGATGGGGATGGGGATGGGGATGGAGATGGGGATGGGGATGGGGATGGGGATGGGGATGGGGGGGGTTAGGTGAGCTTTAAGGCCCCTTTAACCCAGCCCGTCCCATGGCTCCATGCCCCCCCCCGCCCGCACCCACCTTCCTTGCAGACGCAGGAGCCGTCGAGGGGGGAGCAGGCCAGGGCGTGCTGGCAGGAGCAGCGCCCCGAGCAGTTGGTGCCGAAGGTGTCCGGGGGGCAGAGGGAGGAGCAGTGCTCGTCCTGGGGGGGGACGGGGGGACACGGGCCTGAGCACAGCCGGGACACCCCCCCTCCAAGGGCTGGGCTGGGTGGGGAACCCCGTGTGTCCCCCCCGTCCTCCCATGGGGCACACACGTTGTGCCCAGGGCTGCCTGCATCCCCCCCAAGGGTGCCCAGACCCCAAAACTGCCCCCCCCAGGTAACAGGAGCCCCAGCCCAGCCTCAAGGATGCTCAGAACCCCCCCCAAACCTTCCAGAGCCCCCGGCCTTACCCTAGAACTATCCAGACACACCCCCCCCCCCCCTTTCCACCCTGGAACAACTCAGACCCCCCCCCGCCCCGGACCACCCAGACCCGTTTTACCTCCCTAGGACCACCCTCAGCCCCACTTTTCCACCCAGATCCTCATTGTTCCCCCCTAGAACCAACCAGGCCCCCAATTTCCACCCCAGACCTCACTTTCCCCCTCCAGAGCACCAGACTCCCACTGTCCCCATAGGGATGCTCAGACCCCCACTGTCCCCACAGAGGTGCTTAGACTCTCACTGTCCCCATAGGGATGCCCAGACTCCCTGCATCCCCATAGGGATGCCCAGACCCCCACTGTCCCCATAGGGATGCTCATCCCCCCGCTGTCCCCATAGGGATGCCCAGACCCCCGCTGTCCCCATAGGGACACGCAGACCCCCTCCACCCTCCATGTGCTGCCCTCTCCCCACCGCCCCATGGCCCCGCACCGTGTAGCCGGGGGGGCAGTGGCAGAGGCCGGTGGCCCCGTCGCAGACGCCCCGTGGAGGCAGAGGCAGGGCTGGAGGCAGCCGGCCCCGAAGGAGCCTTGGGGGCAGCTCTCGTTGCAGAAGAGCCCGGCCCAGCCGGGGCTGCAGACGCACTCCCCCAGCAGC